CCACAGTGGCACTGACATACGGGGCTGCTGGTACCCAAACCAAATTTATTTTTTAAATCTCCGAAACAGATGCAGGCACAATCGTATTCGGCAACTAGAAAGGGGCGGCAGATTTATATCTTCCAGCTTCTAAAACATGTTTAGATATAAAAGTAGGGAGTTTCCAGCCTTTCACTTACTTTTTGGGAGCTCTTTAGGGATTTGTGTGCCACAGAGTAAAGAGTAAGAAGAGAAGGTGGGGGTAACGGGAGTCTCTGGTGAGCAGAACAAAATGATCACAGTGAACCTTGGAAACGTAGTAACAGGCTGGGATCTAACACAGGAACAAATGAAGAAATAAACTAAAATTAGAAAGACATTCAGTGCCCTGATGATGATTTTTATGTAATTTCCCAACGACACGAGGGCAGCCTGCAATATGAATTTCCCTGTTATTAAGCCAGTAAAATCCAGCAGTAGAACCAATGAGCACATCAATATAATTTGTGCACCAGCAAAGGTGATTCTAACTGAGGTTAAGTGCCTTTAGTCCAAAAGGTTTGTTTTAATCTAAGTTTAACAGTAAAGGGGAAATGAGGGAAACACAGAACAACAGAATTCTCCCACAGAAGTATCTAAGTGTCCGTACAAAGCACATCCATTCCATCCAATCGACCCATGGGGACGTTCATGTCTAAAGTATAAATTGGAATTTAGAGACTTTATGAAAAGCTGTTTTTAAGCTCAATATGCCCCAAATGAGAAGGTGTCAATGAGTGCTTAGGGACTCTTAAATTCAGAGATTATTCAATTGCTCTATTCTACAAATACACTTATGAAACTGTCATAGGAAAAAATGCTGTGAAATAAACGTTAAAAAGCATTCTCAAACAAAATCAAAGACATGTTTCGCCCACCACTCAAGGGCACAGGCATATATAAACATAACCTCAAAAAGCAATACAAAGAGGCTCCCTGTGTGAATTAATGGCCAGTGGTTTTCAGAAAGAAAAGAACTAGATTGAGGGCATGGCAGCCACAGTACCTTCTAAGGTGTTTTTGTTACGCAGGGTGGGGGCACCTAGTCTCCGAGGAGGCCAGTGACCCATGAGAACAAACCTAACCAAACCTTAGGGGCATCCAGGGTAAACTGTTGTCCTTTCCTCACAGCACCCAAATTGTAATTCTGGCCTCATTCTTGTCTCCATTTTCCTTTTGGCCTCCTAACCCAATTGTCTCCCCTATTCCTGGACCCCCCTCTTTGTTGGCCAAGGTTTGGCAAAGGCAGGGTCCAAACCCAACACATGTCCATCTTTGCTTCTCCCTCGTAACTGGGCTTCTGCCGCCATGCACAATTACCCAAGACACCTGCTCAGCTCAACCTGTTTCACTGGTAAAAGCCCTAAAAGATCTCATGTCTTCCAGGGGAGGGAACTGTGAAGAGGAAGCAGCTTATAGAAACTCTGCTGTCTAAACAGGATTAAAAGCATCAGTTCACATGTCACGCCTGGGCTGTTAGTCAATACCAATGTTCCTCTTATCCAGGTAGAAAACACAACCTCAAAGAAGTTGAATAACTTGTTCTGGGCCCCTAGGAGATAAATAAATGACTGCGATTTGAATACACACCCAGGATTGTTTTGCCTCTGACAACTTTGCAGAAAGTAAAGCCAGGGAGAAGCTGGGTTCGACTGTCCTTAAAACCAGTCACATTTAACCACTTGATCAATCTAACATCACTGAGCAAGGCTTCATGCTAAGTTCGGGGGCTACAAGGTGAGAAAGATATGATGCACCCCTTTTAGGAGTTTATAATCAAGCCAGGGAGACTCACTGGTGTGTGAAGAATCATACTACCTGTATAATATAATAAGTTTGCAGTTCATGGAGCTTTGTGCAAAGCACTGTGAGAACATGGGGTTGGGGAGGAAGAATGAATAACTGCCTAGACTGTAAAATGAGGCTTAGGGGAGGCTTCAAAGAGGAAATGACATTTCATCAGACTCTTGGGGTCCAACTGACGGAGAAGGAGATGAATCCTTAGAAAAATGGAGACGTGGGGCTCGCCAGTCAGCATGAGGTAGTGTGGCTGGAAGCTGGGTGTGTCTACTGGTGGGTGATAAGCGTGGGACGGGATCACAGAGCAGCCTGAAGTGGCATCCTTGGCCACTGGATGAGCCACGTAGAGCAGACATTGGCAAACCATGGCCTGTGGGCCACACGTGGCCCTTCACCTGCTTTTATCAGTAAACATTTGCGGGAACATAACCACACTTGTTTGCTTCTATTTTCCATGGCTACTTTTGCACTATGATGGCAGAGTTAAGTAATAAAGACTGGGATCTCAAGGTGCAGAAACCAACAAATATCATCTTTCTTCTGAGACAGGGTCTTGCTCTGTTGCCCAGGCTGGAGTGGCAGTAGCATGAAATTGGCTCACTGCAGCCTCAACCTCCTGGGCTCAAGTGATCCTCCTGCTTCAGCCTCCCGAGTAGCTGAGTAGCTGGGACCACAGGCCCGCACCATCACTGTCAGCTAATTTTTATTTATTTATTTATTTTGAGATGGAGTTTCACTGTTGTTACCCAGACTGGAGTGCAATGGCACGATCTTGGCTCACTGCAACCTCCACCTCCTGGGTTCAAGCAATTCTCCTGCCTCAGCGTCCCGAGTAGCTGGGATTACAGGCATGTGCCACCATGCCCGGCTAATTTTTTGTATTTTTAGTAGAGATGGGGTTTCACCTTGTTGACCAGGATGGTCTTGATCTCTTGACCTCGTGATCCACCTACCTTGGTCTCCCAAAGTGCTGGGATTATAGGCGTGAGCCACCACGCCCGGCCATCAGCTAATTTTTAAAAAGTTTTTGTAGAGTTGGGGTCTTGCCATGTTGCCCAGGCTGGTTTCAAAAGACCCTCCCATCTCCTTCTCCCAAACTGCTGGGACTACAAGTGTGAGCTACTACACAAGGTCTCAAAAATATTTTCTAAAATTTCAAACATGTTTTTAAAAAGAGACAGTTTTTTGTTTTTTTGTTTTTTTGTTTTTTTCTTTTGAGACAGAGTTTCACTCTTGTTTCCCAGGCTGGAGTGCAATGGCGTGATCTCGGCTCACCACAACCTCCGCCTCCTGGGTTCAGGCAATTCTCCTGCCTCGGCCTCCTGAGTAGCTGGGATTACAGGCACGTGCCACCATGCCCAGCCAATTTTTTGTATTTTTAGTAGAGACAGGGTTTCACCATGTTGACCAGGATGGTCTCGATCTCTTGACCTTGTGATCCACCTGCCTCGGCCTCCCAAAGTGCTGGGATTACAGGCTTGAGCCACCATGCCCGGCCAAGAGACGGTTATATTTAAAAACAGTTTGCTGACCCCTGACTTAAAGATCTGAACTATTCATTTGAATTTCTGTAACTGACTTAAATGCATCTGATCAGGCTTTCTAGGGCTTTACTCCCACGGTTTCTAAACAGTAGCATCTTAAACCCTCTTTCCCATCATGGACCATTGGCTGTTATCTCGATCATAAGCTTGTCTGGACATTCATACTCCAAATGTTATGCCTGCATTTATCGTTTCTCCTTTGCATTAACTGTTTATATTTCAGGGCTCTGCCACATGCTGCCCTCTTCTGACATCATAACAAGCCTCCCCACGCCACCAGCAGAGGCTCATCACTCAACTTTGAGTCCGTTTGCTTCCTTTGCTTTCCTCCTCAATTCTTCATCAATTTTTGTACCACTTTTAGAATGCTGCTAAAAATTGATTTTTTTCACTTGCCATTACCACGTTCAAATTCTACTCTGACAGATAGTTATTTCTCTGCAAAAAGGCTTCTCTAGTTCTATAAGGCCCTGGGAATATACAAGGTATACCCACCAGCATTTACAAAACACAAAAAAAATGAAGAAATAAGTTTGATGTTCTGGTAGGCCACGTTAAAGGATTTCTTTTACTTGTAAATCCCCTTACACATGTAAAATCAAATTTGATCTATAAAAATTAAATTGCAGATGGTTTTCTAGGGGATACATCTCTAATATAGAGCAAGGAGTATGGTTATTGTTTTATTAACCACTGGCAATAAAATGGAGTGGAAAAAGGAACTCGGAGTTTTAAAGACTGCTTTCTATGGCACGCAGTATATATTTCAGTTTCAATATGACTTTCTCATTAAACTGCCTGGTTCCAAATCTCAGCACTGCCCCTTACTAACCTGTTACCTTGAGTAAAGTAATGTCTCTGTGTCTCAGCTTCCACATCTGCCAAAAAAAAGGTGGGACTTGGGAGGGAGGAATTGTAACTAACCTCTCTCACAGGGTTGTTATAAGGATCAATGGGATAAAGCATTAAAAGTGGTTAATGTAGGCTGGGTGTAGTGGCTCACGCCTGTAATCCCAGCACGTTGGGAGGCTGAGGCGGGTGGATCATTTGAGATCAGGAGTTCGAGACCAGCCATCCTGGCCAACATGATGAAACTTCGTCTCTACTAAAAATACAAAAAATTTGCTGGGTGTGGTGGCAGGTGCCTATAATCCCAGCTACTCAGGAGGCTGAGGCAGGAGAATCACTTGAACCCAGGAGGTAGAGGTTGCAGGGAGCCAAGATCACACCAGTGCACTTCAGCCTGGGTGACCAAAAAGAAAAAAAAGAAAAAAAAAACACTGGTTAATGTAGTACCTGGCACATAGAAATTACCCTGTCTACTTAGCTATTACTATAATATGATTCTTAAATTTTCTCAATTTTATACTTTTCTCCCACAGCATAAAGAAGAGTGTCTTGGGAACAGCACTGTGGGACTTGACAAATCAAGGGGGACATGGGGTCGTTTTGGTCTCCTGACTTTCTGATCCCCCTCTGAGGAACATTTTCTTCCACACTCCCGACCCACGTGGTTTTGATAAGAGTCAATCTCAATCCTGGGCTGTAGATATCAATACATAATCCAATCCTGGCTAATCACAATATTCTGTCCTCCACCCAAAGCAACGGCATTCACAGAGGGGCACGTGACCCAAGTAAGACCAATGAGAATCCGTCCCCAGGCTCTGATGGAACAATCGGGATCTAAGGGTCTCTCTCTTTGCTAGGTCAATAGATTATCAGCCTGAAGCTGTTGGTGCCCTTCTTTGTTAGACAGGGAAAATCTTCCTCAAAATGAAGCCAGCACGGCAAAATCAGCTGTGAGAGACAAAGAGAAACAATGCCCCGAAAACAAACACGTGCCCTTGGTTCCAGCACGTTACTCTGGACTTTTCAGTGACATGCGCAGATTTTTGTAGCTTAAGCCAGTTTGAACCGGGTTTTCTGTCACTCTCATCTAAAGGATTCTGAGGCATACCGAGGAACTGACATGTCCTATGGCTAGAATGGAATGTGAATCTTGCTAATCTTGCTACTGCAGGGAAGGCACGGGGAGGCGAAGTGGCCGACCTCAGTGCAGTCTCGGTTATGTCTTCAGCCAGGTGGGACTGCTGGGAAAACTGTTTCATCTTTCTGAGCCCTAGTGCACTTGTATGTCAAATGAGAGAGGTGAGTGAAAATCAATCTCTAAGATCCCTTTTCACTTCTAACTTTCTACAAGTATCTATTATTCTGGGGTTCATTTCAGGTGTGTATACTGTGGTATAATTGGTTACTGATTCTCATATTTGCCTGCTTCCTTCTGTTTCCACTTTAAAAATACCCTATTAGACTCTCAATCTCTATATTTCAAGTGCTTATTTCTTTCCCTTCAATTTCCTTCTAACAAATATATATTTATTTTTGTGTACTTGGACGTAATGATCCCATTTTCTTCCCATTTCTATATTTTTAAATCTAATTAAGGTGATAAGCTCCTTGAGGGCTGATGCGAGAGTTTCCCTGTGTGTGTAAATATTATTTTTTTTTAATTGCCAACCAAGCTGCCAGGTTTTACAGAGCAGCAGGATATGAGTTTTAAGTAATGTAAGCAGGAAATGGGTCTCCAGCCCACACAAAATAATGCAAAAGTAGTGATTTTCCCTTGGTCCACATCTGGCTTACTCATTTATAATTTCAGCTTGGACTGAAATTCTCCCACAGAAATGCTGTGTGACACCCATGTCTATAGAGCCTCAAGCCGAAACTAGAGCAGTAGGTGATCATCCTGTGACTCTCACGCATATAAATAATCTGGCTATTTCAGGTTATCATGCTTTTCTCTTCAGTGCCAGGATTTAGAACCTGAGCCAACTGGATGTAAACTTCATATCATCAAATGTATGGATTTCAAGTAACTCAATGGCTCTAAAACTTGGAGGGAGGTAAAGGAACTGAATGAACTGTGGCCAAGTGACCCACCATCTGCAGATAGAACTACTGCCCAGAGGAAAAAGAGCTTCCCAGAAGGAATGGCACATGTAGGATGCTTTCCTGTCTGATGACCCAGTCCAGTCTCCTTCATGAGGACTCTAAATATTAACAAGACCCCCATTCCAAATGCCTTACTGGGTTCTTCTTGGCAAACATAACAAAAGGACTTGGAGGCCATGGTTTCATAGGGTTGGCCAGTTCAGTAATTCACTGGTGCTATTAAGGGCCTGACTTCGATCTTTCCACTTCTCCATCTCCAGTGGATGCGTTGTCCTACAGCTGACTTCCCTGGGGATTGGAGGATGGCCACCAGGGGCACTTGTGGCTACCTGTGTCCTTGTTCACATGCATGAAGGGAAGGGTACTTCTGTCCTGATATTCTACACGTGAGTCTTGAATTCCCTCTCACTGAACCACCCTAGGTTACATGTTCACACATGCGGCTGGAACATAAAATATGCTGTGGATCCCAGCCCTGAAGTTTTCTCTGAAGCATAGAAACCAAAGGAGTATAAAAGAAAACTAAAATCTGAGTACAGTTAAAAAAAGGTGAAGGGGCAGGAGTACAGTTAGGAAATGTAGCTGGGTGGGCTAAAGAAGCATCTGCTACAATCCCTGAGCAAGAGCTCCCAGCGGAGGTCAAGACTCCCAGCTGAGCACCCTCAGAGCAATGCCTCTGGCTGGCTAGAGGGGCTTTCCTTCTTTAGTCAGTCTTCACCCAAGCCCACATTACCCAGTTCCAAAGTCTAAGAGTCCTTGATCCATAACATAATTCTTCCAGCTCCATTAGAGGGTCATGGTTGGGGCGCCTGGCTCTTGGTCCCATACTCCTGGAGGGCAGTAGCCATGTCTCAGGTATCTCCAGGGTCTCATGCAGCACCTAGCCCACTGCTCACACATGCAGCATACCATCACCAAAATCCCACATGATGGAGTGACAGGAAGAGCAGTAGTCCCCAAGAGCTTCACTGGACACATATCCCATTCACCTAATTTTTTCTTTCTTTCCCTTTTTTTTTCTTTTTTTTTTTTGAGATGGAGTCTTGCTCTTGTAGTCCAGGCAGGAGTGCAGTGGTGCGATCTGGGCTCACTACAACCTCTGGCTCCCAGGTTCAAGCAATCTCCTGCTCAGCCTCCTGAGTATCTAGCATTACAGGCACCTACCACCATGCCCAACTAATTCTTGTAGTTTTGGTAGAGACGGGGTTTCAGCATGTTGGCCAGGCTGGTCTTGAACTCCTGACCTCAAGTGATCCACCCACCTTGGCTTCCCAATGTGCTGGGATTATAGGCGTGGGCCACCACGCCTGGCTTAATACTTTCTTATTCCCTAGATTTGTACACATTGAAGAGAGAAAGAGAAAAAGTTGTTGCAGTGTATATGAAAGCCTGTATATTTCAAATCCCCATCATCAGATATTTCTGGACCAGTAGCCAAGTTTTAATTAAAATATCTCTTTTGCATTAATAAAATGTATTATTATTTGGAAAAGACGGCTTGGAGGAGAAAAACTAAATCAAGTTTGGAAAAATGCCAATGTCCCAGATTTTGAAATGTTTCTTCCACAAGTTATACAATCCTTCCCTCCTAAAAAATGGCAAATTATGACTACGATTCACACTGATGCCTGTCGTTTTACCTTATCCTCACTGATACCGGTGAAGATCCTTATATCCATTGTCAAGATGGGGAATTGGAGTCACCAAGTGACTATGTAATACGCTTGAGTTACTGCTAATGGCTCTGGGATCCACAGCAAGTTAGCCACTGCCCTGGAATATAAATCTGCCATCCACAACGCCTAACTCCCGCCTTTCCACCAACTGTCACTCAAAATCTCCACATGAACCCCCATTTTCAGGTCATCTCTAGTCACACCTACCCTTAGCAAGAAATCATTAGTGTCACGTGTGAATTCCACATGATAGTGGAAGGTGAGCAAATCACAGCGATAAGGAAAACAGGGAGAAAGTTTTTTGAGACTCCACTTACATTCTTTGGACATTCCCACTTCAAAGCACTTCTGGAGTCGACAGTACTGGCATCGATTCCTGGTGACTTTATTAATAACACAGTTCTTATCTCGGTGACAAGTGTAAATCATGTTCTTCTGAATACTTCTGCGGAAAAAGCCCTGCAAACAAGCAAGAAGATGAGAAAAGCCAGTAAGGCAACTGAGCTTCATCAGAAATCAAAGCCAACCTTATCAATGCATTAATTGCTTTTTTTGAGTAATGAAGTGATGGCAGCAGAAAAGTTAACTTACATAAACCCTAAAAGCCTCTTGAGAGATCAAGAGTTCTTCCCTGCTGCAAACCCAAAAGCCCTTTTTAATCAAAACTAGACATGACCATTATTATCTTGCTAAAGGAAAGTTAATACCAAGCCGATTTATTTGGAAAACACCAGAGTTGGGTTCCCTCCAAACAGGCTTAGCTTCATAACTGGCTCCCTTGCTGGCCAGAACAATTTCAGGTGAGCCCCTACCAAGAAACCCAATACTTGAGGATTTTTACCCAATAAAAGAAATTATTGGCTGGGTGCAGTGGCTTACTCCTATAATCCAGCACTTTGGGAGGCTTAGGTGGGAGGATCATTTGAGGTAAGGAGTTTGAGACCACCCTGGCCAAAATGGCAAACCCCATCTCTACTAAAAAAATACAAACATTAGCCAGGCACGGTGGTGCACGCCTGTAATTCCAGCTACTTGGGAGGCTAAGGCAGGAGGACTGCGTGAACCTGGGAGGTGGAGGTTGCAGTGAGTCAAGATTGTGCCACTGCACTCCAGCCTGGGTGACAGAGTGAGACTCCATCTCAACAAGAGAGAAAGAGAGAGAAAGAAGGGGAAGGGGGAGAGAAAAAGGGAGGGGGAGGGAAAGAGGAGGGAGAGGGGAGGAGGTGGGAGAAGGAGAGGAGAAATCATTTGCTTAATGCAAGAGTCAGTTTTTTCAAAGGCGCCTTCTCTGAGTTCTTTTACATACTGAGCTCCTCTCACAATTTTAAAAAATTATTCTAAAAAATTATCCAAAATTGGAAACAAGTAAGAAAATGAGTGTCTGCCCATTTAATGGCATATTAGAGCTATCTTGTCCAACATGGTAGCTATTAGTCACACGAGGCTACTTAAATCAAAATTAATGACAAGTAAATACAATTAAGAATTTAGTTCCTTAGTTACATTAGCTACATTTCAAATTTCCACCATGCTAGAATACCTGCTGACTAAGTATGTGCTATGGAGGTATCTGGCCCATAGCTACCACATTCGACACCACATATATACAATATTTTCATCATTGCAGAGAGCTCTTTCAGGAAGGAATGTACTACAGCACTGACTGACAAGCCCACCTAAGTGTCATCTAACTCTCGCAGGAAATGTAACTTTGTTTGACTTATTATTTACTATTGAATAGACCCAGATTCTACAAAGACTATAGAAAATTGGTAAATTACACATTTTTGTCTAGTGTAGGTGCAAAACATTTCTGACCAAATGAACAATAACCGCAAACGTTATTGTTTTATTGCCCTGTAGGACATGAACCATTCTGTATCTACCTTTGCAATCTTATTCTGGTATTCTTTTTTTCTTCCTTCCCTCTCTCTTGTTTTCTATCTACCTGAGTATCTTTCTCACAGCTTCCTTTAAACCAGCTTTGTCATCCTTCTATTCCGCCCATCAATGAGTTTAATACATTTTCGACATGTGCTTACTAAATACTTAAATGAGTTCTTTGCTTTTAACTTTTTGAAAGTCACATTTTGATAAAAGCAGCAATTTATCCTGATTTTCTGTGAAACACTGATGAAATAAAGCAGACTTCAGGCTCCAGAAGCAAGGGGTCCCCAGCTTCCTCTTCATCGTCCCCACTTCTACATACAGCTTTGCAGACAGTGGATGATCAAGTGATGCTTGGTGAATACACAGATGAATGAATGGTGAGTGGTGACACCTGCTGCCTTTTCTCTCTTCTAAATGCCAAAAAAAAAAAAAAAAAAAAATCTTCCACCTTGCTGTAAGTATTAAGAGCGAGGGGGTCTACCCCAGTTGTGACGTGACTTATACCTTCACCAGAAACACCATGAATGTGGTGAACAGAAACTAAGACCCACCATCTGGTGTTTCAACCTTCCCTGCAGTACATTAACACTGCAGGAGCCAGAGCTAAGAACATTCAAAGCTAAAACACATTAGCAAAGAATGGTCATATAACTAACACACATTGTTTAGGATACTTACATGGGCACCCTAGGATTTTAATGTCTAAATAAGCGTATTTTTACTGGCAAGGTTCAACTGTAAGAGCCTGGAAATCTTGTTTAAGATTGCAACTCCTATCACATATCCCAGACACACATTTTCCAAGAAAACCGGTATATTTTTGTGCCTCTGGAGCTACAAATATGCTTAGAATCTAAAATAACAGGTTATGAAGACTGTGAAATCCTCTGAGTCTGCGCGAAGTGGTCACCTAAAAACATATCTTTCCCTGCAAAAAAATACCTACGGGTCATTTTCTGCTGCCAGATGTAGAAACACAAGTTTACAGACACCTTTGCTCTTCTGCGGAGAAACACTGACACAATGGCAGACACAGAAAATGAGGTACAGACAAAGGTGACCCCCTCCATTTATTAAAAACCAAACATTCAGTTTGGCAAACTCTTCGTAAGTGACCAGGAAGGAGAGACAAACAACCTCATGATGCTCAAATGAAAGACTGGGGAACTAAAGAACTTTATATGTCACTGATTACCCAGTCCGTGCGGTTCAGTAACAATGACGCCAGAAACTAAATAGGACTTCTTGGTTTTCCAAATCAGATTTTTGGCTGGATTTCAGGAGAAGGTCTACGTTTCAGTAAATCATTTCCACCATGCTTGAATACGCGCTGACTAAAATATATGCAATGAGGTATTTTTATACATGGGTTGGGTAAACAGACGTGCCCTCTGAGCAAAAGAAAGGTTCGCATCATACAAATCCTCCTCCCCCTTCACTGATATTATGAATTGTTATATAAATCTCACTCCCTCATAGACCACTGCTTTGAGATCCAGTGTGCATGGGGGCGGGCGGTGGGGGGTGGGGGGCAGATATCCGCATACACCCACAATTTACTTTGCTAGTATTTCAATTTAGGTTGAATCCTCCTTTTATTTTTTAACACTGATAAGTACAAACCATTTACCTCTTACTTAAATGGAAACCCAGGTCAACTGTCAATATTAGAAGACATGCATGAAATAAGAGAAATGACAATAATCAGATGTCATTTCACTCATCCTGGACACTGTGTCCAGATACCAACTCTGTAACTGCTGACACCACCATTTTACTCTTTCATTTTCTGAGAACTTTCTTTTCTCAGTAAACCCAGGAAAATTCTATGAGATCACCTTGGCCAGGAAGCCTTCTCTGACTGATCTAAGCATACATGGATGCTTCTTCTCCTAGGTATGTTGCTTTTCCTTCCATGTTCTACCTATTCAAGGATGATACTTAAAGTCTTAAACAATAGTACTATCTGCTTCAGAGGTAACATAGGTGGCACAGGGTAATGCCAACCAGTGGCTGATGGCCACAGCCTCAGGGAACCTAGTAGGCATTGCCCATTTCTCCACTAAGGTGTCACAGTGCCAAGTGTGCCACCTTTCTTGCTGATATCCATGCCTCCCTGAAAAGAGAGTAGGATAGGTAGAAAGGCTGGTTCCTATGAACCTGGCAGACCCAATGTGGCCTCCAGGCAGTGCCTAATACGACTTCTCTGGAACTAAGATAGTACAGTTGGAGGGAGGGAGGGAAGACCCAAGGCAATGGCAAGTCAAAAACTGGCAGGAAAGTGTTTCAATTTTCAACACCTAATAAATTCTGTTGGGACACACCAGGTGAATAGCTCAGGGCTAAGACAGAACCTGACACACAGAAGATATTCAATTAATAACTGCTTCCTAAATGATGAAGTCCTAGCTATAACCAGTCAGAATAACAGTCTTGGATTTTAACTTAGTTATTAAAATGTGATCCTTGAGGGTGGTACCATCTCTATTTAAGAACCTAAACAACTAGATTTCTCAGAAGTTAGTAGCAGACCCACTGATTTGAGTTGTGATCGGGTTAGTCAGTCTGGGCTGCTGCTGGCTAACTGTGACTCGTGCACGTTGACTGGGATTTTCGTTATACATCATAGCTTCTGTTGGCTAATCATGAATGCCATCGGTAACATGAGTTCTGTTGCCTAATCATGACTTCTGTTGCTTAATTCTAATTTCTGCTGGTTGATTATGACTTTTCTTGATTAACCATGGCTTGATTAATCATGACTTCCGTTGTTTACTATAGTTAAAGTCGGTAACACAACGAACACCAATTACTGAGACTGGAAAGACAAATCTGTGTTACAGACTGAGGCAAGCATTTTCTAACTCTGGATTTTTCAACCTCTTCCCTCATGCTCTTTGACTGCTGTTATCAAAGAACTGAGGTACACCCTAAAAGGGAAAATAAGAACTCACACGGTGGGGCAGGCAATACATGCATTAGAGCCATTTGGTTCATGTAGTAGCAGTAATTATGAAATGCCCATATCTGACTCAGATTATTTCTGTCTCCCCGAGGGTATGAAACACCACTGTTCCAAATCATCCCTATTATCTACAGTGCAGAAAGAAGCAAACATCCAAAGGAAAGACAACTGTCTTTTTATACCTAAATATCCTTCTATACCCAGATGCATAAAATTTATACTTTCCTTGATGGACTCATCTTAAATCACAAATCTAGAAAGGACATGGAGAAAAGTGGCTCCTCTCTCTCTCTCTCCTGCATATTTGGATATGGAATTGGATTAGGCCATCTTCCCTCCTCTGATACTCTCAAATTATTGCTCTAGATTTTTTCCCCCCACACAAGTCCTATTTCACCTTCTATCAGATGCTATCACACACAGTAATCTCCACCATCTCCCACAGGAGGGAATTTCTGTTGGTTTAGATAAGGGCCTAGTGAATTGTCTGGTTCAGGCGCATGTGGATTTGAACTGTGACTCAGCCACTTACTATCTCCATGACCTTGAGTGAATTAAGACCTCAATTTCCTCATCTGTTAAAAAAAAAAAAGGGTGACAAAAAATATCTCATGAGAAAACTGTGTGTATCCAAAGAGGGGATGCATGCAAAGTGTTAGGACAGCCTGGCCACATAGCTTCACTGGTACCCAGTGAATAGCAGCTCCTGTTACTGAGAAAACTTGTTTCCTCAAAGCTTTTTACTGAACTATTTCCCGTATACATTCTATGTGTAAAATAAAGATCCCCAAATAGTATTGGACAGTGTTCAATCTCTACACAGTATTGGGGATGAACACCTTCATGATTCCAAAGGCCATCTCTAGATTGAATCATTCACTTTTTGATTCATTCACTCAATGCCAATTAATTGGAGTAGATGTGGTAAGCTTTCTTAGGGCATACAAAGGTGATTCTTGTCCTTTCTCAGTATACTATACAAGGAACAATAAGTCAAGTGAACACTACGTAAGAGAGGCCACCAAGCAGTGTGATAAGAACTTTAATGGAAGCAGAAAGTGAACAAGTGTCCACTGTAGTGCCTGATCCACATATTGTAGACACACAAAATATTCATTGAGCAAATAAAGGCCTTAGGAATTCAACGGAGTTAGAAGAAAGGAAAACTGGCACTTGATCTCAGCTCTAGTGAAAAAATAGAATCGGAAAGGCTGGCTTTTCCCCAAGAAGAATATTATGGGTAAGCAACAGAGGTTTGGAGTCAGAAAGTGCAGGGACAGCCAGTGGTCGGGGTTGGCAGAGATGCAGACGACGTGGGCGTGTGTGTAAGCTACAGCTGGAAGAGGGGGCTGATGTTCAGCCTGGGGAAGATCTTCAGGCCATGCCAAGCATTCACTGGAGAGACACTGTACTCTTCTCTGCAGTAGAGGACTGGAGTTGAATTATATTCTCAGGACTGTCCAGGAAACTACGAATCACTGACTTCATCACGCATCTTATCTAAAATAGATATTGAGCTCCGGGTATCAATACAAATACCTAATAATCTGAGCCTGCCTGTGGGTCTAGGTCAGAACGTAGCCCAAGAATCCTTGCTTTCTAAAGCAACAGTGCAATCTGCTGACTCATATTTAGTCATACATTTGCTTGTGAGAATTCATACTGTGGTGTTTTGAATGGAAGTTATTTTTTAGCCTTAGAGCCACTGACATCAGGTTTAACATGTGTGGAATGTGTCACGATTGTCTTAAGAAAGGAACTAAGATAAAAACAAATTTTTTTATAAAAAGGCAATTTGGTACTATATTTAGTTGTAAAAAGCATTGAGTCAGGGGAATCTACCAAAAAAGTGGTATGGAAAGTACATCTATGTAAACTGGGCTGTTGCAGAGCTAATTTCTATACCATGCAAAGTTCAAAAGGGTAATTTCTCCCTCCAGAGCCAAAGAAAGTAAGGAAAGGAAGGAGCATTACTTAGTCATATTTTCCTCAGTCATTAAAAGATTCTAACCTCATCTGAATAAAAAAGTAAGCAAATGATCAGCCTGGGTAGTTATTCGGGCATCCAGCAAGGCTGGAGCTCTGTGCAGTGTGAGCCCAGGCCAGCAGAGAGCTGCCAATAATGCTTATTTCCAGCCAAAAGTAAAGGCTGCCAGTAGGAGGTGAGTGTGGAATAATCCCTTCACAGCTACTCTGGGAAACATGGCTTTCAAATCAGGAAACACGTTGTGTTAAACAAACAAAAAACACCCTCCGGAGTGAGTGGAAGTCTATGCGTGACAACGTCTGAGAAGTTATTAATAGCAAAATTTGGGGGGAGAAAGAGAAAAGTGAAGACCTTTTCACCCCACTGAAAGACAATGGGTGAGAGGGAGGGAGAAAGTAGAAAAACAGCCTATTATTTTGATGACAGCGAGTTTCCTTCTATGCAGGGAGGGTGGGCATAAATGTAACGAAAAGAACAGTGAACAAGTTACAGGGGGCCAACCTCTGGGCCACAGAAAAGGGAAAAAACCCAAAATCCATACATCAAACAAGGGAGCTGAGCTGTCCCAAGGGCAAAAGCTCAGAGTTATTTATTTTTGTTAAAATAAAAAGAAAAAAGGTAAGAAACTCCCACCAGGACATGGTCCCAGTGCTGGGGATTCGGTAAAGGTGAATGGACAGCAAGGCTGAAGGTTGCCATGCTCTGATAGCCATGGCTTCCATAGGTCTGTTAGTCTATTGCGCTTCTTGCCTGCTAACTTGGAGGGTATCTTCCGGCCTTTCATTGAGAACTTCACCACGGATTTTAGGCCTAAAGTTCTCCTTTCAATCCCCTTAGTCCAGAAGCTTCCTTAGTACACTTATTCTTACCATTATAAAAGAAAGTCTGAATTTTGAAAATACGCCTAGAAAAATGGTTCTAAAGGAGACCGAGATTACAGATTTAGCAAAAACATCATCACTGTGAAAACGAATCTTTCGAGAAGATTACAGCATTTTCCTGGATTTTGTCAGGTAAACCCCTGAGAGAGCTCAACCTCTGTTAGAGACCCAGAGACCACAGCTCTCAATCCTTTTAATCTCCAATTAATTAAAACTCCCTGGGAATACCAACGAAAAGGTGACCTACGGTCTTCAATGAGAACCTGAACTCACATCATCAGACATCGAGGTCTAAACTTCCACAGTCTATGATGTCCCAGGAAGGGCATGAAGCCAATGTATTCGGTTCACAACGTTATTTCAGAGGAACACGATCCTGGGAAGAAACGTTACTAGGTAATGTAAACCGGAAACCAATAGGAAGGAAAGATTATGCAGTTGGATAAAATGTCCTTTAATTTAGGTGAAAATATGACTTTTTCTATTTCTAAAACATAACCTTAGATAAAATATGGATTTTTAAGTGACCGTATCATACAGGTCTGCTTATCATAACCCTAGTTTAACTGGTAAGCATCAAGTCTACCTGGTTTTATGACCAGTTATCTCAAAATAAAATTTTCAGGGAGCAAGTTTCATAAGGCAAGTCAACACTGCTAGCTAAACTGACCGTTTTCAAAAGGGGAAGAGGTTTGTTCTGGGCAGGGCATGTGACTGTGCAGTCACTGTCTTAAAGTTCAAAATAATTATTTTTATTTATTTCTAGTTTTTTGAAACAGTCTCACTTTGTCACCTAGGCTAGAGTACAATGGTGCAATCTTGGCTCACTGCAACCTCCGCCTCTTGGGTTCAAGTGATCCTCATGTCTCAGCCTCTGGAGTAGCTGGGATCACAGCATTCATCAACCACGTCTGGCTAATTTTTGTAATTTTAGTAGAGACAGGGTTTCACCATGTTGGCCAGGCTGGTCTTGAACTCCTGGCCTCAAGCGATTTGCCTGCCTCGCCCTGACAGTGTTGGGATTACAGGCATGGGCCACTGTACCCAGTCATAAATAATTTTTGAATAAGAGACAAACATTTTCATTTTGTATTAAGTCCTGGCTATAGAATGCCATCTACAGTAAAAGTGTTCAACCTCTTTTTCCCTCAGGAGGATGTGGTAGTCTTGGATAGTCTCTCTCCTCTTCTGGTTGACCTTATGGCTAAAGACTGGATATCAGACAGAATTAAGTCATCCACTGTAATCACACTCATTTTCCCTCAGGATTCCCCTGGGATGCCTCTGAGAAATTCCATGACCTCAGTAAGAGCTAGAAAGAAAATCCTTTCAGTTGGGAGCTTATGTTTTACTACTGGGCTTTATTTCCCTAGTGTAAAAAAAACTTCCGGGTGGGATCACAGTGGGGAGTGGGAGAAGCTAAGAGAACACAAATAACTTCTTTGAAACTGAATAAAATTTCCTTTCAAATAGCACACCTATCTAGGCACGATTTAAGAGGATGCCCAAAGGTTCATCGTAGACTCCCAGGGTATCTCCAGCCACCACTTGGGAGCCACTGAAACAAAGCGTGACTTGAAAAGAAGGTAAAGAATATGAGGTTGAGTAGTTATATAAAGAATTTCTCTAGAAATTCTGCAGTAGGTTACTATTTCAGGTAAATTTCTCTGAAATTTCTGCAGGTTAATAGCATAAATATGATATCTTGGGGACTACTTTGTCTCTTCTCAAGAGTTTGAATTAAGATGTAGCAGAAAGAAAAGCTATATGACGGAAACAAAGCCTCGAAAATGGAAGATTCCACTGTGCTCCACAGGCTTTCCTCAAATCTGGTCTTGAGAATTTGAACCAACTAAAGACATCTGTTTTCGAAATTACTTGGGTCAGTTATTTTGGGCCCTTCCTTGGTGAAATCCATAGTTACCAATCTATTATCAGGATTAGTCTAAATATGACAGGGCAAGAAGCCAATGAATTTATGTTTTTAAATTTTCAATTATTTCACTGAAAACAAAATGCACCAAAATAGCTGCGCAGCTACAGCCCAGGAGTTCGTGGACCCCAGCTGCTTTGCACATTAATTACTAAATCTCATCTGGACCCAAATTAAATTTTCTCATCTCTACTGAGGGGGAAAAAAAAAAGGTAAGCAGAAGGAGAGCGTGCCAAAACATGCTCCCGTATACTTAAACGGTTTGCCGAACAGCATGAATTTTTAAATCTCTTTTAGAAGTTTGGTATGCAACATTTCGCCATGAACAAAGCCAGGACTCAGCTCCATCATAACATGCTGGTTGACAGCAAGGCACATGACCATGCATATCACATCATTCAAAGGCCTCTGACAGACCCAAATAATTATGATGCACTTGCATTGCTTTATGATGTTAAGGACCTAAATTAGCACAGAAAAATAAATGCTTGTGTATAACTTGGTGCATTTTTTTTTCCAAGTCCATTTAATTTTCAGGGCCACGTTGGGACCGTCTCACGGGAATTTTTCTCACTTATACATGAACTGGAGTAAAAAGGGAAAAATCATAGCGTATATGAGAACAGGAGAAGGAAAGCCAGTCAGGCACTTACATTTAAGTCTTCAAGTCTGACAGCTGAAAAATCACAGATTTACTGGATGCAGCCTTCTGCTTCTCTTCACCACAGACACTGCTCTGACAGTGCAAAAATCTCACTAAGTTTATTGAGAAAATATGACTCAAGCTCCAGCTCTCAAAATGGATTCCGTCCTTGTATGGAAAAGCTGTGGTGAGTCCCGGCTGAAGCCTGATAATGCTAAGAGTATTGACCTCTACACACTGAGATCAGCGATGAAATGGTTTAAAGCCCACCCACAGGCCGAGCGCAGTGGCTCATGCCTGTAATCCCAGCACTTTGGGGGTCTGAAGCAGGCAGATCACCAGGTCAGAAGTTCGAGACCAGCCTGACCAACAAGGTGAAACCACATCTCTAGTAAAAATACAAAAATTAGCTGGGCATAGTGGCATGTGCCTGTAATCCCAGCTACTCGGGAGGCTGAGGCAGGAGACTCACTTGAACCCAGGAGGTGGAGGCTGCGGTGAGCGGAGATCACACCACTCTACTCCAGTCTGGGTGACAGAGTGAGACTCCGTCTCAAAAAACAAACAAACAAAAGACCACCTGCCCCCTCAAAGTTGCTCATACCTTTGTACAGTCATTCTTACCCAGGCCCCCAAACCTAGAGTGTTCTCTCTCTGTTCAGTGCCCTATGTTCTCTCTCTGTTCATGCCCTATGATTTGAAAGTCCTTTCCCCGCCTTGTCCTTTCGTTCAGGACTGCTGGTGCTCCAAGATACAGCCCCAGGAGGGGTGAGGCTCCCACCAAGCCCCCGCTACCCGCGTATGCTGTTGCAACACTCATTCTACGACAGTGCAATGATTGATCTTCGGTCTCTTTCTTCTTCAAAACAGGAGTCCTTTGCAGGCAGGAATGTAACAATCTTTTTTTGTGATGAAGTATATGCAATTTTACAATTAAAAATAGTATCATATCATATGGATACGCCACGTAGAAGGGAAGAAAAGGCCGGCAAAGACACCTAAGTCTAAACCAAAACACTTTATATGCAAGGAAAGAAAAAAGGAAGCTATATTTTCATTGGTAAACGCTAATATAAATTCGGGCAGGAATGTGAACTTAATGATTTATCCCAAACTCCCCTCTTATTCCAAATTAGCAAAAAAATAGGCTCAAATTTCACCCACAGGCTCCTCTTTCTTGATCTTTAAAATTAAAGTAGCTATATTATGTCAGCACAGTGCCAAGATTTGAAATTAAATAGGTCCCCAATGCAAAAGAAAAAGTTCTTTTAAACCACATGAACTTGTCTGCAATGAGCACATTACAGCTCCCACCTAAGCATCATGCTATATGGAAATACACTCCTGGAGCTGCTGCTGTTTCAAAGACCTTTCAGTTTTGCACTTTCTGAAGTTGTTTTGTAGGAAAACATTTAGCAGAACACACACAATTAATTTTTTAAGTGTTACCTCTCTGTTTTTCCATTTCATACCTGACTTTAGTTGATAAAAAGAGGAGTGGCCTTTTGATTACACAGGAGAGAAGGGGAAAAAACAGTCTCAGTAATAAAAGAGGTACCTGCCAATTAGTTAGATTGTTCTCCAGTTTTCAATTAAAGGCAGTCTAATGGATGGAGGGAGACCTGTTTTATTTTCCCTGACAGAGCTCTTATTTTTAAACTCTTAGCTTCATTTCCCAAAATTGCTGGCTTTAGACAGAAGAAACATATATCTTGAGTGAAAAGCTGTACTGTTCTTCTTCTATTTCCTGTATCAAAATTACATTCTCCTCCTCGGTGGCTACTTCCCATCTGGCTCCACAAAGCTTTCTGCTGCCCAGGACTGGCTTGTTAATGGATGGCGGTCCCTGATGTTATAACCCACTCCAGAAGATGGGGTGTCAGATCCTGCCCCGGGGCCAGGACGCCTCATCTAGGAGCTTTGGGGGTGTTTTAGCCTAATTTTGCTTTCTTCAGTTGACCATTCCAAGGAACGTCATTTACCCTTCTCATTTTCTCCAGAACGACAAAAGAGATAGCTTAGGAGGGTGTGTTTATTCTGAACCCATCCAAAAGCACTTCGGTCTCTCGAAGCATCCGCCTGTAGATGAAATCTGGGAATTATTTTCCTTAGATGAAACAGGACTGAACATTTCCTTGGACACGGCTGGCCTTTTTCCTTGGACACGCACATATTCAAGATTGATATTTTTATTCAGAGTTTTCTCAAATGAATAATTAGGAGATGTCCACAGGCAGGTGTAGGAGAAAGAGCCGCCCCTCCCCCATAAATCATGATTAAACTGTATTTAACCACCAAGGATCTGAACTGGCTTTTGTTAACAGCTTAGCAGTCTTGTTTCTGTGGGATAGCACAGTCTCTAGACTTTGGGGATTTGTGGGGCCAATTCCCCATCCCGTCAATGGTAGTTAGAGCAGCTGAATAAATCCCTCCAGATTGGACCAACCACCCTCTCCAGGCTGGAAAATAAACCATGAATCACATTATCCTGGTAACTGGAGATTTAACATATCTATAGACGGAAGACATAAAGCATCATATATTAATTCCTATTTGTTTTCAACATCACCTGAAGTTTACTTGGTTCAGCCCAAAGACGGCTACAAGAGACACGTTAGAATGAAGCACGACGCTTTAGCGAGCATTAGAATAGACCCTGGGAAAGCACCTGGCAGTGACAAAAAAGTAGTGCGTTCATCCCGCCAAGAAAATGCAAAGGGCTTTTAGGAGCCCCTCAGAAGGAGATTCTGAGTTAATTTGGTTTCCAAATGGCTTTTATGAGCTTCCTTACCCAAAGTATTTCAGAACGTCATCTCTTTTAATTTTTAATCTTTACCCGCGCAATGCTCCAAAAATATACCGATCTGAATCATTGCCTCTCATCTTGCTATCTTAATGGGGGAAGGATAGAGTATCACGCCGGCCATTCCGCATTAGGTGTCCTCATTTACAGATTGAAAAAAAAAAAGTGCCGGACATAAATTATTTAAAATCTATTGTATCAGTGTGTGTTCTGTAAGCATTCACTACCGGCAAAGCAGACAGATTATTTTTCACTTTTAATTGTGTTGATACCTTATATGCTTTGTTGAAAGCGGAGAGTGGTAGGTGAAACCACATCACACGCGAGGAACAGAGAAGCAATGGGGTCTATTATTTAAAGCCAAAGTAACCCATTTAGTGGACAGAACTGTAACACACTTCCATGGAAGGGAAAACCTGGAGTTGCTATTTATGCCTGTAATGTGTGTCTATTATTGTGGCAGACGTGACTGAGGGTAGCACAGGGCCGGGCTCCTTAAGGAAGCTGTTGACTGGCTGCATCAGGGACACCAGACACTTCACATCAGCATCCCAGCACAAAGGCAGCTACTGTGTGTGACTGAGCCGGGTGACACGCCCTACGTCCCTCCTCTCTCTCCTCTCCAAGTCATAGGCATGGTCTAAAGCAATGTACATCAGAGGTCATCATAGGTATACTTGACCTAATCCAAACCTCATCCTAATCTAAGAAAAACAATGAGTAAGAAAAATGTTTAGATAATAGCCTGCGACTGGAATCTGACTAAAATAAAATTGTACACAGGGACACAAGGATTCATTATTAGAAATTCAAATTTACCCCCTTCTCTCATCGACATGGAAGACCATCATTAGGAAATGCATGTATGAGCTGGATATGTCGGTATGTGGCTAAAAAGCACTTCACCATTATTTGAACGTAAAACATCTCTCCAAACCCAGCAACTTCGGAATTTGTCTGGGTGAACTGACAGATGATGGTAGGGTATATACAGATAATGACTATAGAATTGTTCTGATGTAGTTTATTAGGTTGAAAACCTGTCATAACTCTATATATTTGTGTCGTCGGCACCAAATCCAGCACCTTGCCAGGCAATCAGTGAGTATTTGCTCACATGGATGGCTGGTTGTATGGGAGAGTGACTCTCTTTGCCAAATATCCTCCGCCAGGGCTGTAGGATGGCTGGAGTGAACGAGTACCCAAGTCGAAGTCCAAAGGGCTATGGGCTAGTCTACTGTCTGCCTTTAACTGGCTTTGGACTCTGGGCAAACTGTTTACCCATTTCTGCAGTTCCATTTCACAAGTCTGAAATAATCTCTACATGCCTTCTAGCACTGGTATTTGAGATTTCCATGTGTCTTATTAAAGGAACATTCAGCCTGTCTCCAACATGAGCCTTAGTTCTGTATCTTTTGTGAGACATGGCTTGTTTGGTAAGATGCAAGAGCTGAAGAAAGCCCAGTCTCCCAAATATGGGCCCTTTTTACATTGACTCAAAGTTCGGCAAAAAGACAACTCCCAGCAAAATACTCAAGTCAACAACCAGACACAAAACTGAACTGCATCACATCTGATATTTGTGAGTTTCATTTCCACACTGTCAAATATAATTCGTGGCAACCCACTTCAGTGAAAGCCCAATGTTAGCCAGTGCACTGTTCTTATCCTCCAAACTCCACAACCCCAAAAAGTGTGAGCTTCAGACTGAACTCCTGACCTTTCCAGCAATTATCCCCGGAATCTAGACAGCCCCATCATCACCTCAAGCCAACGTGTGAGAGGAGCAGCAGCCAGGAATGCTCTGCCTCTGTTCCCGAAGGGAACCAGAGTGAGAGAGGATCCTGCTTTCCTTTCCATCTGCTTTCTCCAATAAAAGGGAAAAAAATAAATGGAAATGAAAAGTATACAATTAAAAAAAATTACATTTAACTTCCTTTTGCTAATGTCTGTAAGATGATTTTTGGCCTGGCAGGAGACTCCAGATGGGCCGTGTAATGAATATAATTCAATACAAAGAACTGGAGTTCACAGAAACACATTTTTCCAAGTCTGAAGGTAGTGGGTTGTCTCACACTGTTTAATGCAAAACACCAGGACAAGTCATTGCATTTATTTGCTGTTGCACATTGGCCTTTAAACCTCATATCAGTGGGGCTAGACCTAAAGCCATGAAACCAGAAGCTGTCACTCTGAGATGAGGCTGGCACCAGCGCACACTCACCCAAAAGGCCAGAGACCACTAACCACTCAATGTGTTTTTCCTCCGGGGTCTGAGGATTTATATCACCAATTAAGGCCATAATGAGTGCCCCAAGTTGACCTCCTAGGAGCAAGAATTAATTAAGCACAGTATTTCTTAGTAAAGAATGACATTTTCCAAACGAGTTATATAAGGTAGCCACATTTTCTGATATTACTGTGCCTCTATGTACAATTCTTAATTGTTAACACAAATAGAACATTCCAGGAACACAGCTTAGTTTATGTTTTTAATTTGACAGTAAAAGAAAATAATTTTTACTTTTATCCTTATTTTGGAGGCAAGGAGAATGTTTTGAGTATATCGTGTGTGTGTGAAACACAAAATTATTTACATTAGTAATATAGTATCACTTCTTTCAATTATTAATATCACTACAAATGAAGGAAGCTAAGATTCATATTTATAACCTTCCCAGCTTTCGAAAAGGAAAAGTCATGTTTTAAACCTAGTTGTTCTCCAAAATTCTTATGTTTCCATAAATACTGCAATTGAGGTTAAAAAAAAACAGGGTAAGGCTTCAATTTTGTAAACAACACCTTAGAGAGCCTCATCCAGGGGTTGGCAGATTTCTACAGAGGGCCAAATAGAAACTCTTCAAGCTGTGGGCCAGAGACTTAGCTGCAAATACTGAATTCTACCATCACAGAATGAAAGTCATCATAGACAATACAGAAATGACTGGATTGGCTGTGTACCAAAAAAAATTTATTTATAGACACAAGAATTTGAATTTCATATAATTTTCATATGTCATAAAATTAAACTTTTTTTCAAGCACTTAAAATGTAAAAAATATTCTTAGCTCTTGGCTGTACAAAAATAGGTGGCAAATCAGATTTAGCCTATGGGCCATAATTTGACAACCCCTGGCTAAAACATATGTATATTTTGTAGTAATCAGTGAGGCTGGAGAAAATACGGTCTGTCTCTTTCTCATTCTCTCACACATGAACATACGTACATATACACCCTAATTATCAACATCACGGTCTCAGAAACTGTTGATGTAAAGGAAAAAATGCGGCTTCAAGCATGTCTCTTCTGGCATGAACTAGAACATGAAGAAAACTTCAGCCTTGAAGAAACATTACAAGGGTGATAGGAAAAAGAGACCTCTTTCCTCCCCGCCCTTTCTCATAAAGAAAATTCCCACTCTAAATTAAAAACCATGTCCTCCCCCTTCTTTAAGGAGTTAACATAGCCAGCACAGATCTGGAAATCCCTACAGCCTACTTGCCAATTAATGTATTTAACTCTAAAGAGCAGGAGTTTTTTAATTTAGCTCATCCATCACTAACAGAACATTTTGGTAGAAAATATTAGGATTTCCAAATAACTTTATAGCTCTGTAAATTGCCAACATACCATCTGCAATTGAATTAACATTTATAACCAAACTGAAATAATAAATAAAGCAAATTATGCTGCAAATATTCGTGAGTGCCCAATATGCACTTGAGAACGATAATTAGCATTTTATAATCACGCTTCATTTTCTTTATCCAACTCCCTGTCACATTAATGATAAAATATTTTAAACTGTGCTCTATCAGCAAATGGCAGTACAATCTCTAGATTAGCCATTAACTAACATGGAGAATGAACACGGTTTGTGCTGCTGACATTATGCATCCTCAGAAGTTTTACTCCTAATCACATCCTCCAGTCTCCCTTGCTCGTATCTCTGGGTTTTGTTTCCCTATGCTACCAAAACAAGGCCGAGAAAGCCAGTTCTTCATTTGCACCATCTGAGCCTGAAATTCCATGGGAACTAAAGCCACACACTCTTTTCTTTATTGGGGGGGTGGGGGTGGGAGGTGGAAGAAACGTGATTTTAAAATTTATGGTGACTTTCTGATCTAGAAAACTGAAAGGGGTCTAGAGGTCAAGAAGCTTAAGTCACTCAAATGGAATAACTCTTGCCCTCAAATGATTCCAAAGTTCTCTCTTATTACACGATGCCAGAGGATGTCTCTGACATCCTCTACCGTAGTATGTGCAATTCTTTTCCTACGTTCAGAAAAATGTTAATTCAACTAAATAAACTAGTAAAGACTAGATATGCACACATATTTTTTCAACTATACTTTCTACCAATTAGCAAAATTTCCCCAAGTTTTCCCGTTATCTTTCTCGAAAATCACTTCCCTTAAAACAATTGTGTCCTGATGCATTCTTGAATCGTTTCTGCCCCTGGCTCCATGTCTGTCCGCACTTGACATTTCAGGGTTCTCTGCCTGTGTTGCTGGGCTGTAATTCTCACATCTCTTTGATCCAGTGCGGTTCTATCCACTACAGTAGCCACTAGTCATATGTAGCTATTGAGCATTTGAAATGTGGCTCATTCAAACTGAAATGTGTTGGAAGTGTGAAAGGTACATCAAATTTTCAAGACTAAATAGGAAATTACTATGTAAAAAATCTCATTTTATATTAATTGTTGAAATATTTTTGATATTGTAGTAGATAATGTATGTTTGTAAAATTAACTTCATCTGTTTCTTTTGTTTTAAAACCGACTGCTAGAAAATTTAAAATTACATGTGTAACTTACATTTGTGGTTAGCATATCTTTGTTGAACAGTGCTGGTCAAGTGGGTTCTAAACGCAGTGATACCTGAAACTTTCTGCTCTGCTACTGACCAAAATGATGATTATTGAAAGGGCAAATCAAGTAAAGCTTTTGATCAAATAAATCCTACATGAGTGTCATCAGGCAACTCCAGACATTTCAAAGAGCAGTAATCTCTGTCTCAGCACAATCACCTTTTTATTGAGACAAAGGTTTGGTAAGGCAGACGGACCACTTGGAGAAAGAAGGAAAGTGGAAATGACTGTTTCCATTAGGAGCTGCAATGTGCTAAGCCTCCCCACGTGTCCACCCAGGTTCTGTAGGAAGAAGGGGTTGAAAGTAGAAGCTTTTTTTTGAGACGGAGTTTCGCTCTTGTTACCCAGGCTGGAGCGCAATGGCGCGATCTCGGCTCACTGCAACCTCCGCCTCCTGGGTTCAGGCAATTCTCCTGCCTCAGCCTCCTGAGTAGCTGGGACTATAGGCGTGTGCCACCATGCCCAGCTAATTTTTTGTATTTTTAGTAGAGACGGGGTTTCACCATGTTGACCAGGATGGTCTCGATCTCTTGACCTCGTGATCCACCCCCCTTGGCCTCCCAAAGTACTGGGATTACAGGCGTGGAAGGTAGAGGCTTTTTATTGTAGAGGTAGTCTAGTGGTTGTGGGTTTGGGTCCTGCTGCCAGATACCCTGCGTTCAACTTTGGCCTCTGGCTGTTACTAACTGGGTGATCTCAGACAAGTTATATAACCTTTCTGTGCCTGACCTTGTCTTTCAATTGGGTATAGTACCGTTTTCTATCTTGTGGGATTGTTATGAATATTAAATTTGTTAAGAGCCTAAAACAGTACCTGGCAGAGCATAAACACTCGAAAAATATTTACTGTTACTATGATTACTCGTCTTCACTGCCTTTAAATACAGACAGAGGTGTTCGCAAAGCAAATGGACGTGGTAAAAGGTGCAAAGGAAGCTAAAACAAAGAGTAGGGTGAGAGCGGGAAAGAAGGTAAGTTGGATGTAGGTGGAAAGAAGAGGGAAAACGTCTGAAATGCACCCCAAGAACAGTAAGGTGAAGATGCACAGAAGCACTGTCCTGCTAGGGCCATTCACACAAACCATGGCTGCCACCAGCTGACAGGCAGATTCACTGACCGTAACAGACAAGGCTGTGTGTGCATGCTTAACCGAGGGAACAATCTGTTAATTCTTTTTTTTGTTTGTTTTGTTTTGTTCTGAGACAGTCTCACTTTGTCGCCAGGCACCAGGCTGGAGTGCGGTGGTGCAATCTCGGCTCACTGCAATCTCCGCCTCCTGGGTTCAAGCAATTCTCCTGTCTCAGCCTCCCGAGTAGCTGGGACTACAGGTGCATGCCACCACTTCCAGCTAATTTTTATATTTTTTAGTAGAGACAGGGTTTCACCATGTTGGCCAGGATGGTCTTGATCTCTTGACCTCGTGATCCACCCGCCTCAGCCTCCCAAAGTGCTGGGATTACAATCTGTTAATTCTAATAGTTTATGGATTTCCCTTTCGGGTTATAAGAGAAAAGCACATTTCTGGATGAGCTTCTAGGATAGCTTTAAAGATATTCGGCCAGTGTTTTTCATAATTTTTTAAATGCAGAAAGATTCAACAAACATAATTCATTTTCATCCATTATTTTTTCCTAGCATTTAAGACAGAGGTTGCAAACTGCTCAACTACAAACTGAATTGAGCTAACAGACATGTTTATTTTGGCTCAGTGGTGGCTGACACAGTCTTTTAAAAACTTTTAAATACGTTGCCAATATTTAAAAAGTAGACTTAAATTATGCAAGAGGCTGACTTAAAGCTCTTTCCTAATATTTCTTGCCTAATCACTGTATGATCTGAATGTTTTTTAGTAGTGAAATGTCTGGAAAATCAAAAAATACCTTGAAAAAGCCATAATCCTCAAGTAATAGAGGAATTCTCTTGATATACTGGAAAACCTGGTAATGGCAGTTACACATTCCTATAGGGCAGTGGCTCTCAAAATGTGGTTCCTGGGCTAGCACTCATCATTCCCTGGGAGCTTGTCAGAAATGCACATTTCTAGACCTCCTGAACCTGAAACGCTGGGAATAGGATCAAATCATCTATCCTTTGACAAGCCATCCAGCTGATTCTCTTGATTCTAAAGCTTATAGTCCACTGAGCCATGCAGTAGCAAAGAATGAGAAGACAGACACTATCTTTGCTATACTCCCCACCCTCCTCTACTGTACCAAATCAGCTTGCATTATTTACTTACCTGCCCTGCCCTCCCAATAAGCACCTGATTTCTCAAATCCAATACTAAAGATAAACTCTAATAAGAAAAAGTAAATACAACTTCTCAATGGACTGATTTCTGCAGAAAATGATCAGGTATCGTTTTACCTAAACTCAACGAAACGGATTGGAATAGACAGTGACTCTTACCTTTAGAATTATATGAAACATCACCAAAACACATCCTTGCCACACTTTGAAGGAATAATGAATCAGATAATGTTAAAGATGAGAGTTAGTTACCTTAGTTACCATTTGAACCTAACCTGGCTCAGGTCACAGGTAGAAACTGTGTTTCTAAAGGAAAAGAGGGCCGGGCGCGGTGGCTCACGCCTGTAATCCCAGCACTTTGGGAGGCTGAGGAGGGCGGATCACGCGGTCAAGAGATCGAGACCATCCTGGTCAACATGGTGAAACCCCGTCTCTACTAAAAATACAAAAAAAAAAATTAGCTGGGCATGGTGGCGCGTGCCTGTAGTCCCAGCTACTCAGGAGGCTGAGGCAGGAGAATTGCCTGAACCCAGGAGGCGGAGGTTGCGGTGAGCCGAGATCGCGCCATTGCACTCCAGCCTGGGTAACAAGAGTGAAACTTCGTCTCAAAAAAAAAAAAGGGAAAAGAGAATGAGAACTAACCTGGAGGTTCACAGACTTGGCCCAGGTGCTGCACCCTACCTGGAAAATGCGGCAGCAGCAGCATCTACTTTACAGAGCTGTTACGAGCATTTAATGAGTTACAAATATGTGTCTGGAAGATAGTGACTTCTAGGTACATGTTCTCAGTACTAAAGAAGCACTGTGTGTATATTATACATTGTCTATTTCTCCAAATAATTTCAGTGCTCATATGTTATTATACAAAAGATGAAACTGGATTTCAGTGGCTTGTCCAATGAAGTGATGGAGCCAAGATTTCTACTCAGGCTATCTGATTCCCAATCCAATGGAAATTACTGGCTTAGACTAACGGGCCGCACAACAATAGGAAAAGCAGAATCCACGCCACTGTAATATTCCACCTCACCAAAATTGAGTCTGTTGTGAAATATACAAATCTCTCACTGCCAAACAAATATAACCAAGTTTTTGTTGTTGTTTTAATTCAGGGGTAATGGTCATTGTGCGGCTCATTCAAGTTCTTTTTCAGCTTCCTCAGTATTGCACTGCTGGTAATGTATGCATGGGAGCAAGAAGAGGGAGGAAATCCTATCAGTCTGCTTCACTTCCATATGGCTGTTATTCCAAAACATCCAGGAGAAGAGGGGTTGAAACACGCAGTGGAATTAACATGACCTGTTGTTTCTGTGATCAGTGATAATCCAGCTTCCTTTCTGAGAGATAATAAAGCCTTGGGTAGGGATAATGAAATGTTTGAACCAAGTATGAGATTTGAAGACTTCCAAGTCTTCAACTCTGACTAACCAAGTAACAATTCAGAGCTGTCAAAAACACTTCCATCATTCTCTGGATCTCCTTAAAATCCATGAAATTCAATACTTTAAAGAGTCATTGCCATGTACTCATAAGGATTCAAACAAAATTCAGCACATTCCATTTCATTTTGTGTTTAAATTTTAAATAGGAACGAATTAATAAATTGCTTTTGGGGTTTTAATCTAATTTGAAATATAAAAGAGAAAAATAAAATTCATGGTCAGAGACAGGCATGGACTGCATAATAAGACCATGCACAACAAAGCTGAGATTTTGCAAACAGCCATTTACAGAGTAAAACACCTCTCATTTCATAATGCGGTCTTACCATATTGAAACCAATGAACACACTATGATAGATTCACTGAGTAGCTTTTAATAAATACTCCTGCATATTTTCTCATTGCCATTCCCTTGACACGCTGTACTTCACAAAAATTCATGTCCAAGTTCAAAGACAAAAAAAGAAGACAGAATTTTTTAAACAACCCA